GTAATTATTGAAGCTAATTTATTCAAAATTGATGCTTGCAACAATTCTTTACCAAGAAATGCGCTTGTGATAAAATTTTGAAAAATGGGCGTGGCACCGCCTACTTGTGATCACATATATGTATCTCGGTAACCGTTCTACCAATTTGTACCAAACTCGGTGTGGTTATTGTGCTTGCCACATAGAAGCAAAACGTTGAAAATTATTGAAATCGAACTAAAATTACGACCGCTTTTCATATAACAGTGAATTTCAGATATGCTTGAAATTTCAATATTTCGAAATTTAAGGACGCTAATTTACTCAAAATGGATACACCCCGGTTTACCATGTAGCGGTAGCTTTCGGAAAGGTGGAAAACATATATTTAATACTTGCGCCGGGTATTTAATGTTCGGCTGAGCCCGAACTTAGATTTTCCTACTTGTTTATTCATGCATTTTTGCTTAGTAGGAATTTATACATAATTAGTAGCGGCACATAAAGTGAACTAAATGTATTATGCATATACATATACAAATATAGGTAAGAATGTATGCGTCTTCCCAGTTAGGTTAAAGGCGGATATATTTGCATACTGTGTACATACTTACAATTAAAATAAGAAAAAATTTTACAATTTCGGCATGTGATGCAAAAAATCTCTAAAATGCACACAATTTGGGGTTTCCAAGATATGTACGAAGTGAAAAGAAACCAGCAAAAATAAAAGATAAATTCTATAAGAATCAGAAAGCGACATACACAGCCTACTCGAGGGAAATTCCCCCGATTTGCAGGGAATTTCGGTTTAGGTGACAATCGGGGATTGGACAGTTTTTTGCGGATAATTGGGTATATGTTATGTTAATAACTTAAAGAAACCAAATAGACGAATATGTTAATTTTTAACCATTTGGAGCGACTTTTTCACTTTGAATCGAAATATCTCCACAACAGGAGTTTTTCCAAATATAAGCTATGTATATAACAAATGAAAGCTAAGGCTTTGGGCTAGACCTGAGGAAACCTAGAATAAAATCGACTGACCAATTTTTGAGAAAACCCGCGAAATCTATATTTTCAGCAGCCCGATTTTTAGTTTTCAGGCGATAACATTATGGCATATTTATATTTCATGAACACAAAAGACAGCGTTAGATAGCTTGTTTTAAGGCCCTTCTACCGATATCCACACCAATGGTATGGAATGAGTATTGCGTCCTCAGTTCAGTAGCCGGAACTCAATATATAAGGTATCGCTGGAAGGGCAATCCCTATAAAATAACACTAAATATGTCGGGTGTACCCACATGCCCCCTTAAACCGGTAAAAGCAAAAAAACGTTTTTTGTTTCGCAACACTTTAGCCTAATTTTTAAGAATCCGGTTAATGGTTTGTGAAGCTGGAATACATTTTCTGGACACACTCTCCTCAAACATGTCGATTGGACGTCTGGATAAAAACTTCCAAATCTCGTGTATATATAAGCGAGTCATTTCAGCATGCTACTGTGGCTATTTTCGTCACTCGCGAGCACTGCCGTGCGCTGTGATAAGCGAGTAATTTCAGCATGCTACTGTGGCTGCTTTCGTCACTCGCGCGCACTGCGTGCGCTGTGATGAATAGGAAATTATCACAGCAACTTTTTGTTGATTTTAATAAACTTCACGATTTTACTTCTACGAGGTAGAAAAAGATGACTGTATTTTTATCTACAAAAATGCTGATTTCCAAGTGTACACAGTGTGGTGCAGTGCCGTATTTTGACAAAATTGTATCAAAAATGTCAGTGTAGTACCAAAGTACTTTTGGCTTTCAAAATGTACCAAAAAAGTACAATTGTTCCATCAATTTCATCATTGGTGTGTATACAGACAGCAGGGAAGCCAACTCGTGGGTATTTCCCCACGAGCGTTGACCGTTTTTTGTGGGGAATTTCAGTTTACGTGAGGAATCGAGGGATAAATTGGTTATTTTTGTGAGGAATTAGGTGTGACTAATTATTCTTTTTTGCTTCACTAATTTCATAACACTGTACGGCAAAATCAACTTTTTTTATGGGTATTGGACCAAACCGATTTGTACAATCAACCGATTGTAATATAACGCCTTCTCTGCTTTTCAACTTTCTCGGTACAACCAAAAGAAAGTGGATAAAGAAGGACACTCCGATATCAACCGTCTAACCGAGCGCACACGGGAAAACGGCCACCACAGGATCCCGGACGTAATTAACATATATTTTCACTCCGTGTATATGTACTTAAACATCATTTAGTTGTTAAATAAACCATTAATAACGTGTATTCAAAAAGGGAGTTGTTTTTATTTCAAACGAACGCGAAAATTCCTTGCGTGTTGCCACAATTTTTTTAAGAGCTTGAGTCATAGGTAAATCAGTGATTTCTCCGTTTTTCGAAGTTGGCCTCCGAAATCGAGATATGGGCCTTCGAAGTTGGAAATAGGACCTTTGGTAAAAAATTATATTTAACTATTGCATGTAAATAACTAAAACCCTAAAACAATAGATACAGTCCTCCTTTTTCTCTTATTTAAATGGTATATAACTTTTTTTGTGCAAACTTATATTACAGGTGCTATAAGGGGTCAAAGTTCAGGTCATCGAAAAATTAAATTCCTTATATTGCACACAATTTTGAACTGATTTAAAAAAAAATTTACACGGTTGTAAAGGTGATTAAACCCCCTTTCTTCCGATATGCATATTTGTATGCTTCGTATATAAAAATTTTAGAAAAAACACATTTGAATTAAAAAATACCTTTATTTTATAAAAAAAAAATATTTTGTAATTGGTATCGTTGCAAAGACGATTAAATCTCCTTTCTTCTGATATGCAAAATTGTATACTTCGTATATAAAAATGTGAGAAAAAAACACATTTAAAGGAAAAAATAAAATTTATAAAAATTTTTAACAAAAAAATTACCAACCGATTCTTAAAAGGTGTGTATCGTTATAAAGGCGAGCAAACCCCCGTTCTTCTGATATGCATATTTGTATACTGCGCATATAAAAATAAAAAAAAACATATTTAAAGGAAAAAGTACCTTTTTTTATAAAAAAAAGTATTTTATACAAAAAAAAATACGCCGGCGCTAATGCTCATAAGGTAGCCATGAGGCTATTAATCTAATCATTTCAACTCGTCAGCGTTAGGCATTCGCCATGCCAATTATTCTATTATTATAATTCTATTTATTTCATTATTGAATTAGTTTTAAATTTAAATATTGTTACTTCCTACTTGAATTAAAATGTTGAGTGTCTGACGCTGATTGATGGGCGAACAGAAGAAGGTCTGAGGTATATACATACATACACACTCGGATCTCTATGTTCTCTACAGATCCGTATGTACTATTTAAATTTAAAGAAATAAAAATATTTTAAAAGTTTAGTTATTGGGGTAGTTTATGTCGCTCTCAATAAATTTTTGCAATAATCTTACCAACCGTTATGTTAAATTACGGAGTTCTTACGATTTTTGCGGATTACATATTGAAAACAAGGTTGGTCTACTTTTTTTCCAAAAGTTTAACCCATCAACTCGAACCAGAACGGGCCTTTTTGACCCACTGTTGGAAAAAAATGGCTATAGATGGTTAAAATTTCTACTAAAATATGAAGCGCCAAATTTTTCTAAGGAGAACCGAATGTAATGAAAAATAATACTAATGTTTACCATAAAGAGGGAACTTTAACCCTGTGTAGAAAACATTGTGATGCGAAGGAGCGAAACCTTCCTGGGGTGTGACCACCACTAAGGAATGCTAATATAATTTTCATACAGCCACCTAGTACTTGTATACGTATGTGGGACCCCAGAATAAAATAACTTACGAATGTAAATATTAGCAAAAATGTGTTTGTTTAAAATCTTAAAAAAATACATAGAAAAATCCACTTGTCTTTGTTTTATCTCCAATAATTGAGAAGTTAGATGCAAAGAGGCCGCTTTCAGACTGCTTTCAGAGATATTGGCGTTAAAGTTTTTGAGCTATAACTTTCTTGTTGTTGTAGTAGGTGTATAAAAAAGTACTCGACCCTAGTTTAAATGTAATAAACGCTTTCGTCGAAAAATATGTTACCTATGTTTTTTCTGAGTTACGTGGCCCAAATTATGCAAAAAAAAAAACTAATTTAAAAATGTAATTTACATTTCGTAAAATTGTGTTTTATACAAGTAGTATTTAGTTCCTTCAAACGATGTATTCAATGTACATATATCATGAAAATTTTGTACAAAACTCCTTAGGCGCCGAACGCCGCCGCCGCCGCCGCCGCGCCGATATTTTCGTAACTCGGCGGCGGAGCGTGAGGAATGACAAAAAACGGCGGCGGCGGCGTGGCTCGGCGGCGTATACTTCTACTTCGTATATAAAAATTTAAGAAAGACACTTAAAAGGAAAAAATACCAATTTTTTCATATAAAAAATATTTTAAACAAAAAAACTACTAATTAGTTATACAATTGAATACTTTGCTTAAATAAAACAGAAAATTACCTTTAAGTTTTATATATAACCTGTTATGGAAAAAATCAAAACCCATGGCATATATTAGACTCCTGTTACATATACTTTTACTTTATTTTTAACAAGGCTGTGGGTGAACAAGAACGAGTTAATGCTTTAAACACTAATAATGATCTGTTTTATTTAAATACGGTATTCAATTGTATTACTAATTAGTAATTTTTCTGTAAATTTTTTTTTATAAAAAAAAATTGATATTTTTTCCTTTTAAGTGTTTTTTCTCACCTTTTTATATACGGAGTATAGAAATAGGCACATAAGACGAAAGGGGGTTTAATCGCCTTAACGACGATGCCAATTTTTAAAAAATCGGTGAGTATTTTTTTTTATTTATTTTTGATAAAAAAAGTAATTTTCTCCTCTTAAGTGTTTTTTCTCAAATCTTTATTCACGAAGTTTACAAATATGCATATAAGAATGTTTAGGCCAGCGGCCTAAATTTGCTACACATTTTTCGACCCACCCTAATGTATAACATAACTTAATTATTATGGTTGCTGTCGAGCTGTTAACTACTCTGTTAAATCTGCAATAATCAAACTTTCGTCAAATAAACAGTTCGACAAGCAACCGTAACTAAAATCAAGAACGGTTTACTTACTTCTTTTGCGAGTATCCGAAGAAGAGGACGTCATCCAGCCACCAAGCTCAGCTTTTGTATTTCAAGGTAATCTGCAATTCAAATATATGTACATATATATATATATATATATATATATATATATATACACAAATTACTTAAGTGAATAAACACTATTATTTTTAGTTATACTAATACCAAGATTTTAATTTCTTTTCATTAAATTAATCATCGGTGCGAACGTGCATCCAAATCTTGCTCAAGCGTTGCGCCGATGAATATGGTCCCTTGTCGCCGAGACTGAAAAAGTTTTCTCACCAGCACCAACAAGTTGTTTCAGTGATGCCAGATTGTGGGTAACTTCCCTATTTGAGGGATATTTTGCATCAAAAATTATTAAAAGGGAAAAAAGGGACACTTCATATAAATAAGGGATTTTCTTTTGACGAAGTTATTGTTGCATAATTGATCAAAATTCAAGAATATGCGACATTCTTACGTAATTAATCGTTCTGAAGATGTGATGTGGAGTGAAATGGTATATAATTATTAAAAAGTATACGGATAATTTCGAAAATTTTCTTACGTTAACCAATTCAAGCGCTGAGTAAGAAAAAATCTTTTCAGTTGTAACTGGTGTTTCATGTAAAAAGCGGAACAAATTATCTGGTGAAATGATAAATAGCACATGAATGTGCTTAAATTTTAAATTCACCAAAAAATTCTTTTAGGTCCTTAGTGAGTGAGCAAAAAAAGGAAAGTAAAAAAATTAATGAGTGAAAAAAATGCAGAAAAAGGGGTTTTTTCTTAATAGCGGTCGGCCCTCGACAGGCAATGGCAAACCTCCGAGTGTACTCCTGCCATGAAAAACAGCTTCTCATAAAAATGCACTCGCCATTCGGAGTCGGCGTAAAACTGTAGGTCCCTCCCCTTTGTGTAACAACATCAAGGGGACCAACACAAATTGGAGGAAAAGCACATATGTGTAAGCGCCAAACTATTATTATTATTTTATATGAATTTTACTTCTTTACTACTGAAACATGTATATGTTTAAATTCGTTGGGAATTTTGTGGGATAAATTTTCAAGATGTGGGTAATTGAGGGATTTTTTCCCCATTTTCGTGGGATTTTTAACAGAGAATGTCTGGCATCACTGAGTTGTTTGCCAATCAGGACAGGCTTATCCGCGAGAATACCACCCCACACAGCTCATTCGAAATTCAGTGACGTTAACCACAGGAGCAGTTTAAGGATTCAAAACCTGCAGCAATTACAAACATACAGCAGCTTTTAGCAAATTCGACACCTGTATTAAAACGACAAAATAAGGTACGTGGTTAAAAATTTCACTGCACTATAGTTTTTTGTGTGTAAAATTCGCGCCACAAAACTATAAATTGTGAAAAACTAATAACCAAAGTGATTTTGTGAAGTAAGAGACTTAAGTGCATTAAAATATTTCATTTGCTTGTTAGCACACATATATACAAAAGAGCGCGCTACGGCCATTTCAAAAAGTTGCAGTGTATTTTAAATAAGCGTGAAACAACTTGCGACAATTTAAATTTCGGTGATTAATAGCAATATAATTAATTCACATAAAGAAAATTCTGCATAGTCATTTACATTCTTTCGTTGCTTGCATTTTGTGTTAATTCACCAACAACACTGCATCTTTTGGTTCGGTTCTCATAACCTCACTTTTTCACGGCACTTGCGCTAGCTTAGAAGCTATATTGCACTTCAGCAAATTAAATTCACAAAATCACTTTCACGTTTTGAGTTGTTCATATATGCACACAGAGTTGTCCATAAATATTTAAAAAAAATAAAGGCGCTCCATATAATTGCGGAAAATAAAATATCTTACGGGCGTTCACTATTTGACAAAATTACATACATACATATAGACATTGTGTTTGGCGAGCAATAATTAAATACATATCCATACAAACATACATTTTTATATATTTTGAACCGGTGTTAATAAACATACATACATACATATATAAAGTAAATTGGTTGCATACTTTAATTTATAAACCTGAGATTGACTTGGTGGAAAATTCTATTGGTACCATTGCTATAACCAATTGGGGTTCTTAGTAGTGTTTTTCTGTTCTTTTTGATCATTTGCGTTAGGAAATTCCGCTTTTGTTGTGTTGCTTATCCTAATCGAAGACTTTAAAGTTTTAGTAAGGTCGTATTTACAGATTAAAATTCAATATGGAGACATTCAATCGCTTAACCGACTCCGTCATAGAGTTTGATATAGATTTTATGAGTACGCCCAGCAATGAGCATTCAATATACACGCTGAGAATTCAGCAAGCTGACCTGAAAACCCTGTGGGATAAAGCCAAAGCTCTATTTGACGAGCTTCTAATAACCGAGTCACTTTCTGCAAAGGATCTGAGTGCAATAAGAAAAAAAATAAAACGAGCTACTCAGCTTTCTTGCGCTGCATGTCGAAAATAAGCGATCTGTGTGATAGGTTAGAAAAAATAGAAAAAGAAAACGAGGACATGTCAACTCGTTCAAACAACATACATCTCCTACCCTGCGATACAGACGTATTCAAAGGTGATTACCTGACATGACCAACTTTTCGGGACATGTTCACGGCCATTTATATTTTGAATAAACGGCTTACACCAGTAGAGAAGCTATATCACCTTAGACAGAAAACGCAGGGTGAGGCCAAGGAGGTTGTTAGCAAGTGTCCCTTAATCAATGAAGGCTTTAACACAGCCTGGAAGCATCTCTGTGATAGGTACGAAAACAAGAGAATATTGGTCAATACGCAATTGAAGATTCTCTTCAATTTGAAGGCGGTCGAAACTGAATGTGGAACATCGATAAAAAGGTTGCAAAGGGATATCAACAATTGCATATCTGCCTTAGAAAGCCATCAGATCGATATTTCAAATTGGGACCCAATAGTGACGTACTTATGTTCTACAAAACTGCCTGAGGTGACACTTTCGCTGTGGGAACAATCGGTAGAGAATAAAACTGACATTTCTAAGTGGACAGATATGGATCGATTCCTTTCTAATAGGTTCCAAACGCTAGAATCAGTCTCAGGTTTAAGAGGAATCACGGCTTCAAAACCACCAAAGGTTCCGAACTATAAGCATTCCTCTGAACCTTCGCATAAGAGACTTGGCGCATTTCAAACAAGTGTCGCTAAATATATGTGCAAAATGTGCCAGAGTAACGTACATAAGATGCATCTGTGTCCAAGGTTTCGCAAATTATCGGTAGACGACTGGGTTGCTTTCGTAAAAAACAATAATTGTTGTTTGAACTGTTTCGCCTTTGGACACTTGGTATCGAAATGCATTAGTTCGTTCAATTGCGCCACTTGCCATTCTCGACATCACTCTCTCCTACACGTTCAAACAGCACCTCCAAATGCAACAACTAGGAATGACATTTCTGAACCTTTGGATACTTCAGCGTCCTCATCCAGACAGGCTCAAATGCGACGCGAGTATACAAAAGGCAAAGGCAAAACTGTTATAAAGGTAAAAACACATCACGCTAACACAAGCAAAGGTGTATTATTGGGTACATCTCGTGTAGACATTAATTTTAATGGCACAAATTTCTCAGCGAGAGCACTAACTGATTCGGGCTCTGAGTGTTCTTTCATTACGGAAAGGCTCAGACGCA